GTACTTGGGAAGGTTGCTGCGTTCCCCTGAGCCTCCATTTTCTCATCTGTAAAATGGGCTAAATGATTACTTTGATGAGGAGGAGGAAATAGCGACTCACATTTATCAAGCACTTCCCATCCTGGAGCTCGTTCTGAGCATTTTGTGTCCGTCTCTACAGTGTTCCTCTGAGTAAGTCCCAGTACCATCAGGTGTATCTGTCCAGATGAGGAAGCCAAGGCACAGGGAAGTCAGGTAATATGCCCAAGTGACTTGATGTACGTGGAAACAGTGCTTGGCCCACAGAACTGAACAATTTTCAATTTCTTTACCATGATTTTGTTTCGGACGCTTTAAAGAATCCTTCAATATAAGCAGATGGGCAAGCTGCTGGAAGGCCGTGGGAGAGCCTGACTAGCAAGCTGCTGGAAGACCGCTATAAGAGGGCTCTGGAGGTGTGAAGTCAGATTCCGCCCCCACCCCACCCCGCCCAGGGCCTCGAGACAAGGGCTGCTCTCCTGAATTTTCAGCATCAGAGGAACTAACCACTCAAATTGAGAAGAAGGGACCCTCGCATCTGGCCCTGTGGCTTCCAGAAGGAAAGATAATGATGTGCCTGCACGTCAATAAACTGGCATATTAAAGTTTTTAAAGACTAGAGACCCAGGAACCCTCAGTCCTACCTTGTACCACCCCGCCCCCGCCCCGCCCGGAGTCAACACTGCTTCCAAGAGAAAGCCTGCAATTCAAACGCAACTCAGGAGAGGGTTGGCACCCACCCGGGAACCACAGGGCTGAACTCCCTTCGAGGGCATCAGCCAAGTCATTAGACCAAACTGCGAGCCGCAATTACCTCTTCGTTTCACAGAAATTATAAACAGAAAGCAAAGAGAGGATTGCATCACACCGTCCCAGGGGCAAGGGGACATTTGCTCTGAAAACAAAAGCTGAGCCCGGGAAGTGCGGAGGGGCCTTGGGAAGCTCGTTCTCAGCTTCTCAGCAGTTCTGACCAAGTTCAGCTCAGCGGGAGGTCTCCCCCCGCCCCCCCCCACCCTGTGACCTGCTCCCCCTCAAAGAGCTCCCCCCCCCCGCCCTGTTCTGACGCTGGCTTGTTCCAAATAGTTTTTCTGGATCATCTTAACTGCATAAGGTGCTTTATGCCTTCTGTTAATACACTTTTTTTTTTTTTTAATAGAATCCATGACTTGTTTTGGCTTCACTGACAAAACTCAATAGTTTATCTTGCACGGTGCTCAGCTCGGAGTGGTCATGAAATAAATGTGGAGTAAAAAGATGATGCTGGCTATCATAACGTACACAATTATATAATATTAAAACTAATCATGAACTCAGAGCTAACTTGCTGGAGCACTTTCTCTGCCTCCTGTCCTGCCCGTGGAAACACCCCAGCGGGTGCGCCCCGTCTTGCAAGAGCTGCCTCCCTGCCTTAGCTGGAAATAGCATTACTGCAAATGGTAACACTCTGGAAATGAGGGCAGGTGGGGGTGAAGGCTGGGTCAGGGCAGGAGAAATTAGGGGGCCTCCTACATGAGCCCGGGGCAGAGACGCTGGACCCAAGTTCCCGCATCACTCTCCCCAGCCCACCTGGAGTAGAGACCTGTCCCCCAGGCCCCCGAGCGCCCAGGTACACGCCAGCTGCAGCAGGACCCCTGGCTCCAGAGCTTGTGGTGGGCTTGGGGCTCAGGATCCCCAGAATGGGGGATGGTGGTGGACACAGTCATCTCCCAGGGGTGGGGACAGGCTCCTCGGGACAGGTTGGAGGAGCCCCGGCTGGCCTGAGGTCATGGGAAAACAGGCTCTCCCTGTCTGCTCACTGGGGTAACATCCTCAGCCTGGCTGGGACTGTCCCCTCACCCCCAGCCTCATCTATCCTCGATGGGAGCAAGAGCCTGAGTGGGAAGAGCTCTTCCCAGCCCTGCTCCAAGAGAAACTGCCTTCCTGGGTGACCAGAAGTTCTGCGCTGGGACGTCAGTGCTGTAATGTGACTTAACTATCCACAAAGTTGTTGCAAAGCCAGCTCCTCAGGATCCTCGGAGAACAGAAAAAGAACCACGAGCGGAGCTATAGGACCAAGTGAATACCTGAGAACAGCCTCTCTCTCTTTTTAATCCATTCCAGAGGTAGATTAGGGTCGCCATAACAGAATACCACAGCCTGGGGGGCTTAAACAACAGAAATTAATTTTCTCACAGTCCCTGAGGCTGGAAGTCCAAGATCAAGGTGCTGGCGGGGTTGGCCTCTCCAGAGGCCTCTCTCCTTGGCCTGCAGATGGCCCCTTCTCATTGCGTCCTCATGTGGCCTTTTCTCTGTGCATGTGCATCCCTGGTGTCCCTTTGTCTTTCTACAAGGGCACCAGTCATGTTGGGTCAGGGGTCCACCCTTTCGCTTCATTTAACCTCAATTACCTCCTTCTAGGCCCCATCTCCAAATACAGCCACATTGTGGGTTAGAGCTGTAGTGTATGAATTCTGAAAGGACACAGTTCAGTCCATAACAAGAAGAAAGTAACTGCTAAGTGGCTCCCAAAGGCTTCCAGGCTGTGTTTTGGTCTGAGGCAAAATGCCCAGACTCCACAGCCTGATAGAATGTTCGATATAGCCTCAGACGTACAAAAACAGGTGCTCTCCATAAATCCTGTGGTGAGCGTCAACTATCTGGTGTGGCCCACACTCTCAGACACACAAAATCATTGTTAGCAGGAAGCCAGGAGCCAATCAAGGGCGGCCCTTGGGGCGTAAGCTCCCAGGTCTGCTGAGCTAACCTTGCACCGTACGACCGGCATTGCTAAGTCCCTCTGGCTGGGACATTTGGGAGTTGCTACCATCATGCCAGGGGTTACCAGTCTGACTCGTCTTTGCCAGCATGTTTTGGGAGAAATGAGATGTTTTGATCCTAGTTTTCATGTATTTATCAGGGAAGCAGGAAAACTCTCTGCACCTTTCATGGCCATTGGGATTTCTTCTGTACTTTGTCTAGTCGTTGAATTTGTTTATGTCTGTGTTGGGTCACTGTTATTTTTTCCTAATTTATAGAAGCCAGTATGCATTGTGTGTATTAGCTCTTTGTCACATACTGCAAATATTTTCCTTTTAACTTTATTCTTTTTTATGAACCATACACAAATAACATAATTTTTATGTAGTCAGTCGGCCACTCTTTTCTTTCATAATTTCAGGCTTTAGTGGTAGGACAAGAAAGACTTTACTCTCCTCAAATTATATGCTCTCCCTTATTCTTCTCATGCTTTATTTTTAAGCATTTAAATATTCAACTTTTTAGGATGTTTTGTTGTATATTGTATTCATGTCCTAGGCCTGCTGTACTAAATGACCACAACCTGGGTGGCTTAAAAAGCAAAAAATTTATTCGTTCACCATTCTGGATGCTAGGGCTGAGGTCTTAGCAGAGCTGTGCTTTCTCCGAAGGCTCTAGGGAAGGCTCTATTCCCTGCCTTTCTCCCGGCTTCTGAAGTCGCCGGCAACCCTTGGCATTCCTTGGCTTGCAGACAGACGTTCCAATTTCTGCCTCTCATCTTCACATGCATTTTTTTTTTAAAGATTTTATTTATTTATTTGAGAGAGAGAGAATGAGAGACAGAGAGCATGAGAGGGAGGAGGGTCAGAGGGAGAAGCAGACTCCCTGCTGAGCAGAGAGCCCAATGCGGGACTCGATCCCGGGACTCCAGGATCATGACCTGAGCCGAAGGCAGTCGCTCAACCAACTGAGCCACCCAGGCGCCCTTCACATGCATTTCTGTGTCTCCTCTCTTCTTCTTATAAGGACCTCAGTCATATTGGATTAGGGTCCACCCTTCCCATCTCAAGTGCATTTGGTCTTACAGACTCCACCCACATGCCCATGCCCAGCACTGATTGGTCAGGGCCGGGCACCGGACCCTCGCTGGGCCAGTCAGAGCCCTTCCTTGGATTTCTGGGCTTGGGTGGGAGCCTTGGATTGTGGCTGTTCTTTGGTGATGAGCGCCCAGGGTCCTGGCTGCTGGCAGAGCCTGGATGGGGGTAGGAGAAAGTGAACTAAGACGGAAGCCAAGATAATCCCTGGAGGGAGTTTCTGCTTTGTCCCCGGTGTCGCTCAGAGCCAGCCACACCCGACGCCCTTTTTGAGTGATACGGGCCATGTGTCGGATTTCTCCTCAAAGCCCTCACTAATATAAAGACCACATTTCATCTTCCCTGCGTCTCCAACAGGGGTAGGCAGTGGGGTGCACAGTACACACCACACGATCAGTGAGTGAATGAAATAGCAAAGTTTTAGGGACACGTCGTCGACATCACAGTGTTTGCCATCTCTGCCGTTAGATTCCCGTTTCTAGAACCTGGTCAGTCAGAACCGTAGCTCGCTTCCTTCCTTGGGGTCATGTCAAACCTGTTGAACAACATTTGTTTTAACCGGCACCTTTAAGACACTGGCTAGGTGATTTGCAAAAACAATCTGCTGGCCTAATGAAATCAGAACAGCCTTGTTTTCCATCCTAAACTCGGGGATTAAAGAGGAAAAGCCGGTGTAAGCAGGGCGCCCCGGGGGGGCACAGCTGTGGAGATGTGCAGTGAGCGGATTGCTGGGCTCAGCACAGCCCACTCAGGAGAAGTCAGCTAGCACACAACCTCAGATGACAAAAATAGTTCATTAAAATCAGGAAAGGAAGTCTAGATTTTACTTCTCCAACAGCTCATCTTAAAAGAGATAAATAATTCAAGACAATGAATTGGTTGGACAAGCTGTTTCTACTTCATGGCTGTGGCCACACTAGGGACAGAAATAGGACACTGGTGTATATTTTGGCAAAATGAGACTCTCTTGCTTGCTTGTTTAAAACAGAACTGTTTCCGGAGCGCCTGGGTGGCTCAGTCGGTTGAGGGTCCGACTCTTGATTTCAGTTCAGGTCATGATCTCAGGGTCATGGGGTCTCCGGCTCTGTGCTGGGTGTGGAGCCTGCTTGGGATTCTCTCCCCCCCTCTCCCTCGGCCCCTCCCTCCCCCCCTACTCTCTCTCGCTCTCTCCAAAAAGGAAACAAACAAAAACCTTTTTTCTTCTGATTATAAAACATACAAGTCCATTTATAAGAAATTTGCAAAATATCAGAGAATACAATGCCCAGGGCTGGGTCACATGAGGAAGGTTAGGGCAGAAGTGGGTGGGGGGCTCAGGCGGCTCATGCATACCCCTGGGAGGGCCGTGTCTGTGGGGTTGGGCAGGGGGGTTGTGCGCGCCCCCCCTCCCCCCCGCCCAGCGTGGGGGCAAGAGAGCCTCACGCCAAAGCCTGGTGCTTAACTCCTCTGCTGTTGAAGCTGTAAGGAGACCTCCATGAGTGTTTAGAGCAGAGGGCAGCAAGGTACCCACCATGAACGGAGGTTTCCACTCCTGGGTGTTGAAGAGGGTCCGGTGAGACCTTTCCAAGCTTTAGAGGGAGTCAGGGCAGCACCCACGGCGACCGTGGCCCCAGTGGAGAGCTTGAGGGGTTGTTCTAGACTATTGCCCAGCTTTGGCACATTGAGGCTCTGACCTCAGCTCCAGCAGCAGCAGGCCTTGGGGTCCCAGGCTCTGGTGGTCCTGGGAGGCAGTGTCGGTCCCAGGGGTGGTTCTATGGGGGCAGAGGCAGTGGCTTGGGTTGGGAGTGTGTTGTTGAGTGTATAGTCCTCTGTTAGGAGCCCCACCGCACCCTGTACTCCCCCTACTCCCCGCACCCCTGCATAGCACTGACAACAATTCCAGTCAATAATTAACTGTGACATATCTGCCTCAGCAATAAGGTAACCAGCTATCTGTTAAATATGGCGGCCAACCTGTCTAGTTTGTCCATGGTTTCCCCAATTTTAGCACTGAATATACTGCACCCCAGGGCCTCCGCTCCATCCTGGGCAAACCAGAACCCTTGGTCACCCTACTCTGCAGACAGATGGAAATTTCCATGCCAGGGCCCTAGTGTCTGTTATTTGTGGCATCTCCTGTACCCCCGCTCAGACACGGTGCCTTGCACAGAGTATGCATCCAATAAATGTTTGCCAAAAGGGAATTATGATTACTGGAAATGCTCAGTAAATATTTGCTGAATAAATGTCCCCTTGCCAGTAAATGAGTTGTTTTCCATATGATAATATATTAACACAAAATGGGACAGACTGGATTTACAGATTCGTCTGAAAGGAATTAGAGATTTTTGCGTAAGTAGAAAGTGCCGAGTAGGATAAGTTTAGCAGGATAAATCCTCTAAAAAAGATCAGCCAATGGCCTAGAGGGGGTTGGTGCTGATTTCTTGAATCAGTCTGTAAGTGGAGATTATGGATTTCCAGATCCTCTCAGATATGAGGAGCCAACGCAGGAAAGACAGATGTTAAGCCAGTGTGACAGTCAGTCAGAGTAAGAACTTACCTTGCCTGTCACCTGCCATAGCAATCCTGCAAACATTCCCTTGGGTGGGATGCATCAAACCACAGCAGGCCTGGAGAGGTGATGTGATTTTCTCAAGGACACATACAGAGCAGAGATTTGAAAGACAGGCCATGTGTGTGCTTTCATTGCCCGAGTCTCCTATGACCAGGGCCATGGCACTGACGTCCAGTGGCCAGTAAATGGTTTCCTCAGGCTGCCTAAGCTGTATAGATGCATCTGTTAACTGTAGGCTGACGACCACTTGGCCAATGTTAAAATGTGGGGAAAAGAGCCAGGACAGCAGGCCTGGTTGCTGGCTCCTTGCTTGCATGTTTCCAAGGAAACCTGGAGGCATGATGAACCCTTGGCCAGTCCTTGGGAAGGTGGCTCTCAGAAGGTTTATTATGTCAGTGATGGATGATTTTGCTGTTACACCTAGAGCAGTGGACCAGGCCCTACCAGCTTGCTGGGACGCTTTCACAGATGTTAAGATTGACGATGTATGCCTGGTTTCATTATTGGGAGTCCTGAGTTTCAGTTGCCATGGGTGACTTATAGCAGGGTAAGTCTATCCGGCAACCCGTCCCCGGATAAACACCTTGGCCCCTGAGACCTGCATGGGTTTCCCTGGACAGAGGCCTTCCACACATGACCCCGGAGTTCTCTGCCAGAGAAAAAGCACATTCTGAGTGGGCTCAAATGAGGAGGCAGGACAGGGGAGTGCTGGACTTCTCTGGCCTCCCCGGATGCGTAGCTTTTCCAGCTGCTGGCTCTCCATCCTTCGCTGTCATAAATCTTAGCCCTGAGTACAATTACTATGGAGTCTTTTCAGTCTTCCTAGCAACTCACCAAACTTAGGGAGATGTGGGCCCTGCAATGCACAAAAGGAAGCAGTGAAAGCCCGTTTCATCTTTATTCTGCCGGATGCTACCCAGCCCCGTACACCCGACTCCCTCCACGTTCGAATGTGGGCTGTGAGAACCAAAGGTGAGAGTAGTCAAGGTAAACGAGGAGCTCCAGTTATAATGCCCTTGCAAGGGGTTCCTCTTCAGCTCACAGCCCCAGGGTCCACCCACCTGGAAGACAGGTGGCAGGGAAGAATGATGTCTGGGCAGAGGGGAATAGGTGGGGTGAAAGTCCCTGGAGAGCAAATTTCAGGGTTGATTGCTTTTTGGAATTTCTGGGATTTGTAGACTCAGGTTAATATACATACCTGGAGCCAAAGCCGCAAAGGCTTCCCTAGACCTCTGCTACTCATTATTGGCTCAGCCAGGCAAGTGCTTTGGGTCAAAGTATCCCCCAGCCCTGCAAATCCTCCTCCGTGTGTGCATCTGTTTCACAACCCAGAAGCACATTGCAAATCCATTCTTTCTCTTTTTCTATATCTATCTATCTATCTATCTATCTATCTATCTATCTATCTATCTATCTAATCTATGTACTCATCTTGAAGACTTTTATATATATAAACTAATGAGCACAATCATTGACACAAATACAAATGAAACAATTAAAAAATAAGATAATTGAATAATTACACATATACCTGCTATCGAAAGAAAGTCCCGGCATTTATTTTGCATCAAAAATTAATGGTTTTGGGGTGCCCAGGTGGCTCAGTCGGTTAAGCGCTGCCTTTGGCTCAGGTCATGATCCCGGGGTCCTGCAACTGAGTCCTGCGTCGGGCTCCCTGCTCAGACTCAGTGGGGAGTCTGCTTCTCCCTCTCCCACTCCCCCTGTTTGTGCTCTCTCTCATTCTCTCTCTCTCTGTCAAATAAATAAATAAAATCTTTTAAAAAAAATTATTGGTTAATTCAGGGGCGCCTGGCTGGCTCAGTCAGAAGAGCATGTGACTCTTGATCTTGGGGTTGTAAGTTCATATTGTGTGTAGAGAGTACTTAAAAATAAAATCTTTAAAAAAATTAATTGCTAATTCAGAATAGCCAAAACAATCTTTAAAAAGAAGGTCAAAGTAGGAAGACTCACACTTCCCTCTATCAAAACATGCAAAAAAGCAATAGTAATCAAGACAACATGGTGTTTATACAGTATAAGCATATCGACCAATATAGTAGAATTGAGAACCCAGAAATAAACCCATGTGTCTATGGTCAACTGGTTTTCAACAAGAATGCCAAGAGTTGGGCGCCTGGGTGGCTCAGTTGGTTAAGCGACTGCCTTCAGCTCAGGTCATGATCCTGGAGTCCCAGGATCGAGTCCCGCATCGGGCTCCCTGCTCGGCGGGGAGTCTGCTTCTCCCTGTGACTTTCCCCCCTCTCATGTGCTCTCACTCTCTCAAATAAATGAATAAATAAAATCTTTAAAAAAAAAAAAAAAAAAAGAATGCCAAGAGCATTCAATGGGAGAAGGGTGTCTTTTTAACAAATGGTGCTGGGACAACTGAATAGCCACACACAGAAGAATGAATTTGGACTCTTACCTCACGTCTATACAAAAATCAACTTAAAATGGATCAAAGATCTCAATGTAAGAGCTAAAACTATAAAACATTTAAAAGAGTTTTATATGGGAAAACTTTCATGATATTGAATTTGGTAATGGTTTCTTAGGTATGATACCAAAAGCACACGGGAAAAAAGTAGATAAATTGCACTTCATTACAATGGAAAAGGACATCATCAAGAAAGTGAAAAGATAACCCACAGAATAGGAGGAAATATTTGCAAACCGTGCAACTGAGAAGAGTCTAATATCCAGAATATAGAAATAACTCTTACAACTCAACAACAAGACAAACATCCCAAAGGACTTGCATAGACCTTTTCCCAAAGATGATATACAAAAACACGTAAACAGATGTGACTTAGACTTAAGTCAACATTATCAGTAAACAGACAAAATTGACATCAAGTGCCTCCATGTGCAAGGCAACGAGACGGACGCTTCACTATATATTCTTACCAAAAATGCATAATCCGAATCTAGTGATGAGGATACCTCGGATAAACCCAAATTTCAGAAAATCTGGATGAAGAGTATATGAGAGTTTTTAATACTATCCTCTTATAACTTTTTGGTAGCTACTTATGTGTCCCTTTCAAAAACATCATTGTCATGCAAGACAAAAAAAAAAAAAGGCAAAAAATAGCTAACAAAAGATGTCAGATTAAAGGAGACTGAAGAGGATTGGCAACCAAATAGGACCCTAGACTGGGAGAAAATTCTGTAGAGACATCATGGGGCACTTGATAATTAGATAATAGCACTCTATCAATGATGAATTTCCTGGCTCAGATACCATAGCACAGTTACGTGAGAGAATGTTCTTGTTCTTAGGAGATATACGTGGGAACATTTAGGGGTAATTGCATGAAGTCTTCAATGACCAGGGGAAAAATAATATGTACACTTATTTAGAAAAAGAGGGGTGATGTGGCAAAATAGGGCAAAACGTTAACAATGGGTGTGTCTGGGTGAAGGGTACATGAGAATTTTTCATACTCTTCTTGCAACTCATCTGCAAGCTTGTTATTATTTAAAAAAATAAGAAGTTATAGCACAAAATATATACAAATCTTATTTTAAAAATAAAATATTTATAATATAAAGTTAGAGAAACAAAAGGATGTCTGCCATACAAACTTTGGGGACAAAATCAACCCCAGCCTCTAGCAGGCAGTGCAGCCCCCAGTTGCCAGAGTGGTTGACATGGAACAAACAGTAAGCTTGGCACTGACCCTGACTGAGAGTCCCTGAGGCCTGGAGCCTTACCTGGAAGAGAAAAGCATCGCTTCCTGGAAGAAGATGAGGAGGAGGAGAAAATCACTTCTGGGACTAAGTGAGCTTCTAGAAGAATCCAAGAACCTGGAAGCTCTGCCTGTGTCCTCAGTGGTCTCAGTGAAGCCAACTGTGACCTTCCTAAGTCTGCTCCTTCCTGCCCCAGGTGACCAGAGCCGCGTTATCTCAAGTCAAGGTGCAAGTGTTGAGCGCCTACTGTGTGTAGGATCCTGTGGGAGTGAGGAGGCCACCAGGAGAGGCCTGGGTATGTGTGTGTGGCTCTGTGTTTGTGTTGCGTGTGTACACATGCGTGTTTGAAGTGGGGTGGGGGAAGACTTCAAAGCTTTGCAATTATCACTGCATTGGAGGCAGTGGGCAACCTCACTCCCTCAAGAAACCCATGTGGCGGCAATGACTCTTTCAATATGGTGGGGCAACGGTTAGTACTTCATGAGCACTTACTCTGTGTCAAGGGACACTTGAAATATTTCCCCCACATTAACTCCTAACCCTCATAACAACCCCAGGTGTATCACTATTATCTCTTATTTTGCATGTGAGAGGTTAAAATAGCTGGCCCGAGGCCACACAGCCAGTGACGGCAGCAACCGAGATGGGAGGTTCTTGGCCAAAGTTGAGGTGGCCTCCTTAGCACTTCTCCATACACCCCATTCTCCTTGATCTTGCCCTCCTGGAGCACTGGCTGAGTTGCCAATAAGAAGCAGCTCGAAGGAAACGTTCACGGTGTTCTTATCACATTGGGAGATGAGCCCACAGTCTTGCGATAATCCGGCGTGTTCATACACAGCCTTGTGGCCTCCTCCCCACTTTCACCGTGAGCTGCATTTGTCGTGCTTTTATTGCTCAGTTATGAATCAGTTGCGTGAATTGGCATTTGTGTGTGTCACACCAAACTGGAAAAAAAGATGGGTCCAGCCAGTTGGCATTTTAGGAGTATCTAAAATATTTAAATGTACCAGCTCAAGCATTTGTGCCTCCCTGTTAAGGAAAACAAAAAACAAAAAACCCAGATTGCTGCCAACATATTTGAGCATCATTTGCGCAAATTACCCTGCCACACTGCCCAAGGCCAGGGAGAGAAAGGTTAGTGGGAGCCTCCTTCTGTCTCCCTCTGGAGGGTCATTTAAAGGCAAGTAGTCCTTGGAGGAAATGCTCTTGGCCCCTTTATTATAAAGAATTACAGCCACGCAATGAGTCTGCATTTTGGTTCTGCGTCTACGGGCCACCACAAAGGAACATAGTAGCTAAGCAGGTTGCATCTGCCCCATAATTTTTCAGCACAAATAGCTACTTAGCCTTGGCCAATGGGCCAAATTCTTTAAACGCTTTAAATGCTTTAAAAAGAGTATGTCGTTCCGGGAGCCAGTGAAAGCATCACGCACCTACCGGGTGTCTAACCCGGCAGTCACAAAGCTCTTCATCTAACACAGGTGTCCTCCAAATCAGGTGTACAGTAGCATTACCTGGGGACCCTGTAAAAAAGACCAATGCTGCCCAGCCCCCAGACAATTCAACCAGACTCTGTGGACGGGCCCCGGAACCTATGTTCTCAACAAGCTCCCGAGCAACAAAATTGCCGAATGGATTTAGGTCAGAAGTGTACAGAGTTGATGAAAAGTAGTGCTTTTCTTGTCTTCTATCACCCAGCTACCAGGTGAGACTCCGGAGGCCACTGTCAGGAACAGCTGGGCCTTCTCTAACTAGATCACAATTTTAGGTAAATTAGTCCACCTAAAATGCTCATATGTTACCCATCCATGGTGGTTTCTCATTCACAGGAAGAAGACAACCAAGGTGAGAAGTTCATACCTTGAGGACTGAGGTCCCTCAAATTGAGACAAGGAAGTTTCTGAAGTGGGCAGGTGTGTGGCAAGCTGTGTTTTCCACAGTGTTCCCTCCCATCCCTCATGCTCTTCTGCAATTTGACCTTGTCACTCCCCTGTCGAGAAGTAGAGTCTCTTCCAGCCCCTGGAAACTGGGCTGCCTGTGGTTCGTTTGTAACGAATAGGATGTGGCAGACGTGATGCTGCATGACTTCTGAGGTTAGGTCAGAACAAGTCCCGAGGCTTCTGCCCGGTTCTTCTGGAATATTCCCTCTCGGGGTGCTCCTGCTCAGATCCCAGTCACCATGCTGGGAGAAGCCCAAGCCATGTGCAGGGCCTCCATCCGCCATTGCAGAACCCGGCCTTCAGGTCATCCCCGCCCAGGTGCTGAGAGCCGAGAAGCCTCCAGATGACGCCCGCCCCAAGCCATTCGTGTCTTCCCCGCTGAGGCTTCCATCCATCCCCATTCCACTCCATGCAAGTTCTTGACCCACAGAAACCCTAAGCATGATAAAATGGTTCTTGTTTGATGCCCTTGAATTCATTATACAGCATGGGTAACCAGAAGAACGGGGCTTCTCCGGTGTCATGTCATGAGGATTCTTGGGTGACAGAGCCCTGGGGGTGGGGACCCTCAGGGAGGCCAGGCTCTCTAGGCTCTGGTTAAGAGACCAGCTCCAGAGCTGCCTGGGTTCAAATCCGGTCCCTTCCACTTACCAGCTCTGTGACCTTGGGAAAGTTCTTAACCTCTCTGTGCCTCTCAGTTCTCTGTGTAGCGGAGATGATCATAGCAGTCACCAGAAGGTTGTTAGGAGGATTCAATATATTAATGTATGAATAGCCCCTGGCTCGCTGGAAACACTCTTAAGTGTTGGCAACATTTGCAATTTGCACAGGCCTTGGCCCGAATTTGATCACTGGAGGATTTAGCTCTGATCCTGTGGGCATTTATACTTGGAGGACAGGTTTATCTCCAGTTATGTGTCTCTCCTTGTCTGTGAGCTGGGGACTCGGGGCATCCGGAAAGAAGCTGCCTTCCCACTGGAAGGAGCTGGAGGGTTCCTGGGGAAAAGCACGCTGGTGGAATCGAGAATAAAGTGAAGCAGGAGAGAACCAGGCAAAGAAGCTGGAGAGGAAGGGAGCCTGGCCAGGCGGGAGGGTTGGTGCTTCACGGGGTGTGTGCTTGTATGTGTATGTGTATATGTGTGCACGTGTGCGTGTGTGCATGTGAGCGTGTGTTACCTGTGTGCGTGTGTGCATGTGGATGTGTGTGTATTCGTGTGCATGTATATGCATGTGTGTTGTGCATGCATGTGTAATGCATGTGTTGTGTGTGTGTGCGTGTACATGTGGGGGGTGATCCCAGGACAGGATGGGAGATGCCTCTGGAGAAGTGAGCCAGGGTTACCCAGCAAAGGGCTCACGAGATGTGACCACTGCACGCGGAGGTTTAAGAGTTGGGGATTTTAGGCAAGACGGCGGCAGGCACAGGGATGGGAAGTCCCTCTGAGAAAAGGCCTCTGGCAGTGGTGGAGGGGGCGTGGGGGGCACAGAATGAGGCACAGGCGTGACAACCTCCATGCTTCCCAAGAGCGTGGTACCGTCCCGGTCCTCAGCTCACACCAGGACAACCCTCTTCCGTGTCCTCCAACCTGGAGGGATCGAATCCAATTCTCTGTACGCGGGTATACATGGATACACGTTCTTGGGCTGATTTTCCTGTGGCCTCTCTCTTCCTGGTGAACGAGCTCGCTCCACTGTCCCTGGTCACCAAACAGCAGAGCCCTCCTTGCCAGCTTCCCTGGACCGTGTGCTGATCGCCGCCTGCCCTGAACGCCCAGCAAACCGCATCCGGGCGCGTGAAACGTTGAACCAGGGGTGTGGGGCAGTTATAATAGTTTTAAAGACCTTGACATTACTTGGATGAAAGTGCTGCGTGTGATAAATTATCTGTATGCGCCACCTGCCTTCGTTAAAGACAATAATGGGCTGGTTTTCCTGCAGAGGCTTCTGGCCGCTGTTTCAGGCTCGGCCAGAAAAGCAGATTTACGTTGTAATCACTTAGGCTCCCAAACGACTAAGCGTCATGGTACCAGTAGTTGGCACTTAGTGGGTACTTAATAAATGTTTGTGGGACGAGCGTGAACGAAAAACGGAAGAGAAGGCACTGGCAGTTATGAGGCCCTAATTTAAATCTCCCAGCCTGGAGCAGCTGTGATTTCCAACGTCACCCATGCAAGGCGCACGTGCTTGCTCAGTACCTGGACGCTACAAAGAGAAGGAAAAGGATCAGAAGAAGGGGCGGACTAATGCTGTGCACCTGCCTTCGGCGACGGGACCTGCCTGTCCCGGCCAGCATCTGCCCCCGCCCCGGGCCTCCTCACCCTCTTTAAGGGCAGGTTCCCAACCCGCGGGCCACGGGCTCCAAGGGTCTTAGAATGGGCTTGAGCAAATTCGTGCCCCTGGAAACAGCACTTGAGGGGCAGGTGTGGCCTCTTGCGGACGCCCTTGTGGGTGATCTTACCTGGTCCTTAGTCCCGTGCGTTGGCAGCTCCCAACACCAGATGGGCCTCGGTGCACAGCCCGTCCGCCTGTCCAGCTAAGTGGCAAAGCTCATCGCTTTTCACCTCCGTGTCTTTCATGGGGACGCTGACTTCTTTCTGGTTTCCTCCCGGTGCCGACTCGTGCTCTGCAGGCCTCCCCTCTGGGAGTGTGGGCCTCCCCAGCGTGACCGGCCTCAGGCAGACGCAACAGCCTTCTCCACAGCAGGGGAAGATACATCACGATTATGCAACTGATTCTTCGCAACCTCCGGCTGCCCAGGTCCCCCAAAGGAGTCACCTTGAGAAGCGAGATGCATATTTCAGTGTCCCTAAAACTTGAACTGCTTTCAAACCTTGTGGCAAGTTGTTTTGAATGGCTTCCCATTAAAAACAATTTGAAAGCCGTCAAACTCTAAGGGTTGATTCGAATGCGAGAAAAAGCTGAGTCATTCAGAGCTGAGTCTGGGGAGCAAGGCGAATGAGCAAATTTGAATAAATAAGGCATTTTTAGGAAAACTGAGGGCTGCCTTAAAACAAGCAAACTGGTTTTTGTACGTGACTCTTAACCTGAATTTTTAAGTACCACATAGATGTCTTGGGCAAAGACAGCTGTATTACTTAAAAGTATTTTTTCCCAAGATTGCCCACAGTGACCTTCATTTAGATGGACAAATGTAGGCGTGTTTGTTTCAAAAGCCAATCGTTTTCATTTATTGCCACAACAAGTACCTTCTAGAAACAAATTTGAATAAGCCAGAAGGATCAAGGTAATGTCCCCCAACAGACATCGGACGACTCGTTCTGTAAGATGTCCTAGCTTTAGAAACTAATAGTTGTTTTGTGTGTATATGGACTGTTTCACATTCTCTTTCCTTTCAGTCTTCACAAAAGTAACAGGCCTCTGAATGACAGAGACCCTAGGGCAGGACTAGCCCTAGTCCCTAAGATCCCACAGAGGCTCTCCATCAGACTATTTCCAGCCTCTCTCCTAAGTGGCTACACTCGGGTCATTTGGAGTTTATGACAGACCCATTTAGCAATCCCCCCTACACCCACCCCTGCCCTCTGCCTTGTTAGCAAAGAACCACCATTCAACCCAGATGAATGCATTCTTCTTGCAGCCAGAGGCCCACTGAATGAAAACAGAAGTCCCCTGGCTTCTGCAAAATTTCTAGCTTTCCTGATGAAAGGCACAGACATGGCCACAGCCTCCTCCTGTCTCCCTTCTTGCTGTCTTGAAGGTAAACATGATGTCTGGGGCTGCAGCAGCACTTTTGAAACCAAGAGGAAACAAGACTGAGGATGAAAAAGCAACTTGATAAGGACCGGGGTGAGCCTGGGGCCCCGATGCCATTCTTTAGCAGTGAAAACAAGGCCAGCAATCTCAAACTTCTGGGCTTCTTAGCATCCAAGAAGCACAAGACCGTTTGCTGTGGTGGCCAGGCTCTCTGCTAGCCTGACCTAACACACCAGCCATCCCTTTATTCAACAAACACATGGCAAGCACAGCTGTGCGGCAGGCAGGCAGGGTGGGAAGAGCCATGGAAGGAACATTGAGGCTGATAATTCTTGTCTTGACAGAATTCTGGAATCAATAGTTGTAACAATTTTTAGTTTCTTATGTAAAATGCACTAAAGCAATTGTATATTAATAGTTTAAATTTGCAAGTGACTCATGCGCTTGGGAGGCCATAGTCTTTAGTGGGTGGCGGGGGAGGGGATCAGATGCTGTTAGGACCCCTGCTCAGGGCAGAGATGAAAGGAATCTGGTGTTTAGCACACGCCTGCTCCATGCCCACGCTGTTCCAGAGACTCCACCCACATCACTCCATTGAGTTCCCGCACCCAACTTTGACAAAGAGGCCTTATTCTCTCTCTTTTATACATTTTGAACACAAGTCTCAGAGAGGGTATGTCATTTGTGAAAAATCACACGGCTGGTAGAGCAGATCTCAAGCCTGGCTCATGCATGACTAGACTTGAGTCACAATTTCTTGATGGCAATCTGTTGGAGAAGACCCCAAGCCCCACCTGCGAAGCATACAGTTTCTTTGGAGGGGGAGGCGGGAGCAAAATTCGTAACTAGAGGTTCCTGAATTCCTCCTCTGGTGCATTAGTTGAAGGAAATTGCTGGGTTGCTCTCCGGAGTATTTAGGGAGAATGTGAATTAGGAACTGCTGAAAGAGACATTAATAGATGTGAGGTTTCTGTCATGATTCAACCAATGCCGTGTTCATAAGAAACAGACGGAAGAGCCCATCTGTTTAATTCTCTTTTCTTGCGAGGACACAGCAGAACCGAGATCGAGTCCCGCCCGCCCCCCACCCCAGGACAGCCCGCACAGCCCTCCTCCCGCTACCTGTGTGGACAGAGCTTGGGGTCCGCGTCTCACGTAGTGTAGGCAAATATCCTGTGTCCACACCGTCTGTTCAGTTAGCTTCATTTCTACTCAGAAAAGTCCTGAGTGCCGTCCCGCGACTGAGCAAGCGGATTGAGGGTGTCTGCAAGGCCAGTTGGCGCACAGACAAGAGCTGAGCAAGTCTAAACTGATGTCTTCTTACGCCACCGTCCCAAGAGGCCCACTCTGGAGGAAGGTGGGGGGTGCTAAATTGTGTTCCCCCTCCATTCATATGTTGAAATCCTGAGCCCCAGTACCTCCTCATGGGACCTTGTTTGGAAACAGGGTTGTTGCGGATGTAGTTAGTGAAGATGAGGTCACGAGGCTGGTCCCTAACCCCGTTAACACTGGTGTCCTTCAGTTAGGGAAAATTTGGGCACAGACACACGCACAGGGAGATGGGCACATGAAGAAGATGCAGATAAGGATTAGGGTGAAGAGTCCACAAGGCAAGGAGCATCAGAGATTTCCCGCATACCCCCAGAAGCAGGGGAGAGGCATGCAACAGAGCGGGGGGCATACATATGTGTACATGTGAGTATATACATGTATGTGTGTGTCTATATGTGAATGTGTACGTGTGTGTGAGTATGGGTGTGTGTGCATGCGTGTGGACATATGTGTGAGTGTGTATATGTGTGTATGAGTGTATGTATGTGATGTGTGTATGTGGGACCATGTGAGTATAAGTAGGTGTGTAAATATGTGTGCATATGTGTGGACGTGTGGGCGAGTGTGTCAGCAGATGAGAATGGTGTGTGAGTGTGCCTGTGTTTGTGTTTGTGAATGTGTGTTGGCATGTATATGTGTGTGTGCATTTGGGTGCACATGTGTGTGAGTGAGTGAGCATGTGGGAGAGAAGGAGTGTCGCATGCGCGTGAACATGTACGTGTGTGATGGTATGTGTGGGAGTGAGTCGTGTGGTAGATGTCACAATAAATCTGTCAGAGGTTTTGTCACCTGTCACTCTCCTAGTGGAGTCTGAATTCCCCACTGGAGAAAAGACCACTGAAGGGTCCCTTGCTGTCCCTGGAGAAGGTTTGGGTCTCAAAGGGGCCGAGTGATTCTGAGCCCTCCCCTCCTGATCCCTGGCGCCCGTAGACAAGGGGGGTCCTTGGGAACAGATCCCCAGGACATGCACCGCAAGGACGGGAAGAGGCTGGAAACACTGGGAATGCCTCATTATTCCACACTGGGGATAATTTAATAACTCACCATACATCCATATAATAGCATATCACCCAGCCATTGAAAATTAAATTCTCAAGAATTTTTAATGCCTATGAAAGCTGCTTGTGGGGCACCTGGGCGGCTCAGTCAGTGAAGCGTCTGCCTTCAGCTCAGGTCATGATCCCAGGGTCCTCGGATCGAGTCCCGCATCGGGCTCCCTGCTCTGCAGGGAGCCTGCTTCACCCTCTCCCTCTGCCTCTCCCCCTGCTTGTGCTCTCTCTCTCTCTTTCTCGTGCGCGTGCTCTTTCTCTGTCAAAAAATAAATAAACCATAAAAAAAAAAAAAAGAAAGAAACCAGCTTGTGATGGTGGAAAACACCAGGGTTCAAGCGACAGCTGTGGTTTCATGAGACTCAGGAGCCTGGAATATTTTCTGGGCTCAAATCCTGAGTTCAAAGTCAAGGTCGCCATTTGTAGCTGTGTGACCTTGAGCGGGGAGCTTCCCTCCCTACCTCGGTTTCTTCACCTGTAAAATGGGAACGACAAGAGTGCCAACCCTTAGGCACTGGTGTGATATTAAAAGGTGTCCTGATACAGAGCACCCCCCCCCCATTTGTAGCATTGCTGACTTATTTGGGAGTAGCTACAGGTTAACCCCACTATCCCAAAGTACAGTGTTCCTATGAAAACTCTCCTAAGCCAAAATGCAAAACAAAGGAGCAATTACCATTAATTGATGTGAAAATTTTTGAGCCATCCCAGACCCCCAGAATAACCTTTCTTAGGCTTTTCTGATGCCTGAGGGCACATTGCTAACGGATGCACAAAATACGTGGAGATAAAGCCCAGATGCTCACAGGCACAGCGTTGCAGCTGGACCCCGGACACTGAGCCTGGTTCCAGCGGACGGAGCTCGATGGTACCCCTCTTTCCTGCTGCTGGGGGTGGGGGGGGCGCTCTGCTGCTCCTTTGTTTATCGGCTCATCTCCGGGGAAACCAATGCTGGACGCTCTTGCCGTTTTTCACCTTCTTTCCTGAAAGTGAAAATCAGCCTCTTCGGGTTTCTTTCGAGTTAGCAAAAACAGGTGGGTCTTTTGTGAAAGCGAAGTGCGGGCTTCCATAACATAAATTTTCCAAAAGTGAGAGGCACCTGTGCTCCCATAATGGCCACTTTCAAGCTCTGGATGGTTTAACAACTGACTTACAAAATTCTTGAGGACTTAACTGTCACCCTCAGAAGCCAGTTGAGGTGAAGAGGGCTTGGCTCCAGCAAACCACTGCCAGGGTTATTGTGGGGAATAAACTCATGTATGTATTAAACGCTTGGAGCAATGCATAGCACAAAAGACAGATATCAACCATCACTGTCAAGCTATTATATTTTGAAACATGGAACAAAATAAATCCGTAGAAGGAGCAATGCATGTGCAGGTGACACAGTGTGATGGATCCAGCGTGATGATCAACCAATTCTGTACATCTGAGGTCCAAAAAACAATTTTTAAATACGTATATGGCTAAAATGAAGTTCACCAACACGCCGAGGGGCGGGATTGCGGGCAATATGCATAGGTTTGAGGATTTGCCCAAGATTTGCACAATTAGCAAATAACATGATGTACTAATTTGATTTAATTTGAAGGTGGGAGTTCTGAAGGTGAAAACACCATCTCTTGGGACGAGGTTGGGGAAACCCGGCCAGAGGAGAGCGCCTACAGAGGGCTGCCTGGGTGGAGGGACCTCCTCAGCTGCTGGAGGACTGGATCTCCCAGTAAGTGGCTCATGACACTAGCATTCCTTCGGATCCAAAGGGTTGATGTTTTCTGGGCACATCCTACCTCCCGAATATAGCGAGAGAAAACCAGCTACATTTCTATCTGGGGCTGTGGGCGTCACTGTTGGGTGTATCAGGTTGAACAGTGCCCCCTGCCCTGCCTAAGTCATGTCCACCTGGAACCTCGAAAGAGATGTCATTTGGAAATCGTCTTTGCAGATGTAATGAAGATGAGACCATTCCAAGTCCCGCTGGAGTAAGATGGGCCCCTCAACCAACGTGACCAATGTCTTTATAAGGAAGAAGATGGCCACGTGATGTCAGGGCAGAGATTAGGGTAATGCAGCTGCAAGCCAAGGAACCCCAAGATTTGCCAGCAATCACTACAGCCTGGGAGAGAGGCAGGGAACAGATTTTTTCTCGGAGCCTCCAGAAAGAGTCAGGCTTGCGGACACCTTGGTTTTGGACTTCTGGCCTCCAGAGCTGTGAGAGAATAGATTTCCGTTTTTGACGCAAGCCAGTTAATGGTACTTGGTTACAGTGGCCCACTCAAAATGAATACACGGGGCCAAGGCCAAGAAGGGCCCCACCGTGGACGCTCCTCTGTGGCCAGCCCCCAGGCTGTCGCTGGGGGGGAGCCCCCCCCACCCCGTTCAAGGCTGCCCCCAAAGGGGCAGCGCAGTGTCCAGAGCGTGCTGGAGCCCTGGACAGCTTCCTTCATGAACTTTCTGATTTGCATGTGGGAAATGAATCCTTCCTCGCCAGCAGGACCGGGTGCCATGATCCGAGGGGATGTCCTCCACCCAGTGCACAAAAGGGAAAGGAAAGCAAGCTGCTGACTCAGCAGGTCGTTCCCTGGGTGGCTGGGAGGAAGGGGTCCCGGTTCTGGGGACCCCCCAGGGTGGCAGTGCCGAGGGTCCCCAGGCTCATCTGCCCCTCCCCCAGCTCATCAGGGACCATCCCGAGCACCGACGGGAAGGCCTAGCCCGGCAGCTTAATAGTCACTTCAGAACTAGACCAGTGGCAGATTAAGGGTTGCTAATTTGGAACCAGGGACTGATGTTCTATAAAAAGCAGAGGCTTTGGGATCTGTTTCTTTTCTTTCTTTCTTTTTTTTTTTTTTATAAAAGTAAGCCATTTTAGAAACTCTTCCTACACAAAAATGATGAAGTCAGAGGAATTAGTCTGCTTCCCTCACCCATTTCTTCTTTTGTGCATCCTCTTTTCCAGCTTCCTGTCCAGCCCCCCAGATGCCCCTGCTCCACGCTCGGGGTGCAGAGGGGACAGGCGAGACACTTCCAGGCCCCTCCAAACGGGGTCCGCAGCTTTAAAGAGATGCGCCCATCCTTCTAGGAGTCTAGGCACAGAGAGAGATTGCAGGGGGAGCCTCCTGGAGGTCCTGGGGTGGGGGGGGCCAGCGCTCCTGCAGGAAAGGGCGGATGGTGACAGAGGGGGTGCCTGGGAGTGGGTGACTGGCTCAAGGGCCCAGGTGACTCCTGATAGTCCTGCCAGGAATGTCTGCATTTCAGAAAAACACTGCAGGGACAAGAACCCTTGGGAATGAATTGCTCATTCATTCAGGGGAGTGAGTCAGGAAGGCCTTCCTGGGACCCCTCAGATTACACCACAGAGGCCCCATGGAAATTACCCCAAATACTTGCCCAGGACGGACATAACACGGCATCTGTGTCCTTCCTAATGTCAGGGGGGAGCAAGGCCTGGGAGACATCATAGCCCTCTCTTACTTGGCATGCAGACTAAATCTAAAGAGGAGGCAGCTCTGTGCTGGAAAAAATCAGAATGTTGAAACGGGCCAGGAAAAGGAACTTCACCTCGTTTCTTATCTTTATCCAACGGAAAGCAAGTTAGCAAGCAAAGTAACTTTGAAAAGCAGCTGCGTGAACACACACACACACACACACACACACACACACACCCTGAAGGGAATGTGTCTCCAGAAAGCAAATGAGGTACAATCTGGGAGCCTTGAGTGAACCAATTTCAGCTCCTCTCTGGTGGCAGAAAATATGTAAAGTCATTTTTTTTTCCTTTTTGTTTATGAGATTCGCCCCAAACTTGTTCTTCTGGCCCATCATAAGCCACTCGATGCGTAAGCCAAGCCGTTCCTCCCTGGAAAGCTCACTGGCTGTGAAGAGGCCCCCACTC